TTTTGCCTTTGCTGTTCCCTGTAGACCTTTCTCTTCCCTGCAGCTGCTGTTTTCCCCAGGAAACACCTGTTTCTCCCCACCCCACAGGTGATGCTCTCACCTCCCAGGATGCCTTCCCTTCGCCCCGGCTTGGTCTCTGTGCTGCCTTTTAAGGACCCAACTTGTGTTGCAAGTTGTCCCCTGGTCTCCCTGCGGATTGAGGCGGAGGGGCTTTTGAGGAGACTTCCCTGCTGATTAAGTGGCTTGCTCCCCACCCCCAGCCCCGCCCCCCCTCCTTCTGTGCTGCTGACAGCCTGCTCCTCCCACAGATTTACAAGGAAGGGGTGTGGGGGGGCGTTGGGGATGAGCTGAAAGCTTGAAGCCTGAAATGCCAAAATCTGCACTGTCTCTAAGGTGGTGTTCGGGAACAGGAATCCGACAGCCACAAACCGAAACCCCTCGTAGATGCTGTGTATATGTGTACTTGTGTGTGGATATGCGTGCGTGTGTCCATGCATGTGGAGGCGGGGCGAGGTAAGGGTCTAGTGTCATTACGAGTTCTAGAGACTAAACCATATTCTCCAGGGGAAGTCACAACATACAACTAATGACTCTGTTGTCTGGTCTGGGTGAAAGCATTTATTTGCTCTGTTAAAACCTCTCCTGAACTAAATGATAATCATAATCTCGACAATGATAGCTGCAGCCTCTGCTGTTGGTAGGTGCCCCTGTTACCATTTTACGGATGAGAAAACTGAGGCTGAGGTCATCTTCCCCGAGTCACTTGCTGGCTCTTTCCCAGCTCCGGTCCTCTGCACTTGACTATTTCCCCTGCCTGGCTTTCCTCCCACCGCCTGGCTCTCCCCTCCCTGGGCTCTTCGGCAGCTGTGTCCTCACCCTTCATGGCTCTGCTCAAATGTTGCTTCCTCCAGGAAGCCTCCCCTGACCATTCTCTACAGTAGACCCCCCCCCCCCCCCCCCCACTCCTGGTTTCTATCCAATCACTCCATGTTCTTCTCAAAACTTGACGTGATCTAAGTTGTTATTGTTCATTTATCTACCTGATTAGAGCATGCCTTTCTCCCCTGGAAAATAAGCTCCCTCCTCCTGGAAGGTGGGCATCTACTCTGTCTTTTTCACTCCCACGGCCCAGAAGCTAGAGCAGGACTCAGTAAATGAAACTCTGGCCGGGTCCTCAATTTTACTGCACCGGTCCCAGCATTTTGTGCCTTCCTCTGCGTCACTGTTCACTGCGCGGTGGGCCCCATGGTAAGCGCGTTCCTGATCCAGACGGGAATGTTCCAGTGCTCTGAGCACAGAGCTCCTGTCGCTGTCCTGCAGAGAAGGCACCAGGTGCAGGCCGAGGTGACCGCGGGAGACCCAGCAGAGAGCATTTCGGTTTCTCAGAGATAAAGTGACCTGGGGCAGAGTGTTCGCTCCAAAAATAGAGACAAGGGGACTGATTTGAGAGGCGCTTAGGGGGTAAACGCAACAAACAAACCGGGGGAGAGGAAAGTCTCGAGGAGGACTCCGAGATACCTGGATGGAGAGAGGGAATACCAGAGGGGCTGACCTTGGGGTCACTTACTCCAAAGACACTTTTCTCCCGGGGAACAAAGGATGCTATAGCGTCAAAGACTAATGTCCTGATGAAACGGTCTTCCAAAAAAATTACATTTTAGGTAAGCTTCTCAGCCTTTAAATGTCCAGGAGAAGTTTTTGCCCGGATGATGGACGTGTTCTATAATCTGTACTGTCTGATGTGGCAGGAGAGTCACATGTGGCCGCCGAGCAGCTGAAATTTCACCTAATTTATTCTGGTTTTGGCTGGTGGCTACCATATGGGACGCCGCAGCTCTAGATGAAACGACCAATTCACGGGAAATATGGAGGGTATACTCGAGCACGTGAACGTGCAAGCAGCAAAGTCCACACGGGAGAGGCTCTCCGGGGCCCAAGCAAAAACTGGTTTCTTCTGCAAGTAAGTTGCAAGGGTTAAAAAAGAGAGAGACAGACGGGAAATCTGTACATTAAAGGATACTTCAATGACATATTAACCAATCACAATGTGTGGGTCTTGTCTAGATCTGACTCAAACAGAAGAATTATAAATAAAAGTACATTTACTGGGGCCCCCGCAAGGCTTAGTGGGTTAAGTGTCTGACTTCCATTCAGGTCACGATCTCCGGGTTTGTGAGTTCGAGCCCTGCGTTGGGCTCTGTGCTGACTGCTCGGAGCCTGGAGCCTGTTTCAGATTCTGTGTCTCCCTTTCTTTGACCCTCCCCCGTTCATGCTCTGTCTCTCTCTGTCTCAAAAATAAATAAACATTAGGGGCGCCTGGGTGGCGCAGTCGGTTACGTGTCCGACTTCAGCCAGGTCACGATCTCGCGGTCCGTGAGTTCGAGCCCCGCGTCAGGCTCTGGGCTGATGGCTCGGAGCCTGGAGCCTGCCTCGGATTCTGTGTCTCCCTCTCTCTCTGCCCCTCCCCCGCTCGTGCTCTCTCTCTCTCTCTCTCTCTCTCTCTCTCAAAAATAAATAAACATTAAAAAAATACATTTACTAAATAATTAAATATTTGAACACCATCCATACAATCGTTGATATTTTAAAAATAATTTTTAATGTCATAATGGCCTTGTTTATTAATAAACATAACCATGTTTATTATGTTTCAGAGATACATATTAAAATGCTATATTTATGGATCATGTAATACGACTCCCAGTATTGGCTTTAAAATAAGGGAGGGGAGGGGCGCCTGGGAGGCTCAGTCAGTTGAACGTTGGCCTCTTCGTGTCAGCTCAGGTCACGATCTCACAGTTGGTGACATCAAGGCCCTCGCTGGGCTCCAAGCTGTCAGTGCAGAATCCTGCTTGGGATTCTCTCTCTTCCTCCTTCTCTGCCCCTCCAGTGTTCACACACACACTCTCTCTCTGTCTCTCTCAAAATAAATAAACTTAAAAAAAAAAAAAAAGAATTTAAAATAAGGGAGGGGAAATGGATAGCAGTGGGAATAAGACAGGATTATCCTGAGTTCATGCTGTTTCGGGAGACCATTGTGTCATTTTCGCCTATGTTAGGACTTTCCCCATAATTATAACATTAAAAATTATATTAAGCAACATGAACCTGCTCCCAGATAAAAGCTATTTTAGGCATAATCTCGCCAGGCCACCTGGGTCCCCTATGGATGTGCTATCATAATATCCCGTGTCCCTTCCCACAGCAACAGGACAGCATTTGAGTGACACCTCTCCTCCCCGACTTGCCAAACTTCTTTCCAGTATTGTAAAAGCAATGCTCACTTATTTTCACCCCTTAAAACTCAGTCTCCAAAGCAGGAGCATTCGTCACTCTTTCCAAACGATTGCCCTCTGCCTCAGGATTATTTCCAACTCCATCTAAAAACATCTTGACCTACAGCCTCCCTCCTCCCTCCTCTCTTCTCCCTTCCCCCTCCCCCCACCAGCTCTGCATCCCCAGGGGCTGCACCGCTCTGACCTCCCCCGGCAGTGCTGCCCTCCCTCTTGCCTCTTGCACGTGTGGTCTGCGCGTCTGGAACACCCCGTTACATGATCGGCCCAAGAGGCAGAGCAGGTGCAAAGGCGGAGAGAGGGTCGCGCGCAGAACAGCAACTTGGGTTCCAGGAAATTTAATAGGCAGCGTTACAAAACCGAGAGCCATCCTGGGCAGCGCAGCAGGGGACACCTTTCACAGGCGGCTGCCCTTTCTCTGCAGTGATTCTGGGCCATATGTCTGTAAGTACTAATTAGGATTCTAACATTCACAGACACCGAGTATCAGTGGCTTCAACAAGACAAGAAAGAGCTGGTTTCTCACTCAGCAGGAGGTTTTCGGGGAAGGTGGGTTTCTCTGCCCCAGGATTGGGTCCAGTGAATCGACCAACTAAGTCTGATGCACAGTTTGGTAAAGGCTTCTCTGAAGTCCCGCACGAAGGACACACACCTGTTTGGCGAACCCATCCGTCTGGGCTCACAGTTGGATCTCGGCGTTTAGCACATCGCCGTCACATCCTGGCAGACCCCTGGGAGGTGCCGTGCTTCGCACACAACCGAGATTCAATAAATATTAGCTTAATTGATTTAAACATGTGCGCCTGCAAATGTACGTGTATGTGTGTGTAAACGTGTTGATGCAGAGATCTCTGCCAAAACAACATATGGGAAAATGTGTCATCTCTGTAAGAATAGAAAACAAGGGAAGTGCCAGCCGAAAACTGCCCCATTGTCCAAATAATTCCTTCTCCAGTTAACCTGGGAGAAGAAAAGTGTCCGTATCTGAACAGGACATTTTCAGGGCTTCTGTTTGCAGCCGTTTTCTTCCCATCCTTCTAACCATCCTTTTCACATCTTCTTTGTGAACCGTCTTCGTCTGCCTGTTTCTCAAATGGTGATGCTCCTGGGGGCTCTTGTCACCCTACCACACGCTCTCCCTGGTAGGCTCGGCCACTCCCGTGGCCCTGTTTGCCATCTATGTGCCCACATCTCCCCAGTAGATACGAGGAACCCAGATCGTTCCCAGAGCTCCCGTCCTGAGCATACAGCTGCCCGTGGTGGTGGTCATTTCCACAACGCCTCACCACGGTTCTGGCCTTGGGGAGACCTGCTTTGACCCCTGGCCCCTCATCGCCCCCCTCGGCTGCTTGTCTCTGGGGTTCCCTGGCCCTTGCAAGACAGCTCAAGCTCTGATACTTTCCGGGCATCCACTTGGCTTGTGGGAACTCATGTTTTCTGGACACCAGAAAGCCTCTTCTGCTCTCTTCTCCAGCCCTACTCAAAGGGGTGGAGGGGCTGGATGGGTCAGGCTGTTCCATGAGCAGGTGTTTGAGAGGGGAAGAAGATTCCAGGCCCATCACCTCACAGCCCCTCCTAGCGCTATGAGTACCTCCACACTGACCTGGGGACCCCATGCCCCACACTCCATGGGGTGCTGTAGAAAGAGCTCAGGCTCTGCAGCCTGCCTGGCAATAATGGCATTCACTAAGCCACCTGCCAGACACGGGGCTGGGGCAAGTTACTTCACTTCTCTGTGCCTCAGTTTCCCTATCTGTAGAGTAAGACAGTAATGGTAACTGCCATAGGGGGTTGTAGTGCAGATTAAATAAGTCAGTAACTGTAAAGCGTCTAGAACCATGCCTGGCCCATAGCAAACACTTCAATTGTCTCTGTCAAGTACGTTAAAAAAAAAAAAATCACAGGAATTAGTTGAATGGACAAAGGAATGAAATGGAAGAATGAACATAGCCGAACCGACCTGGGTTCTAATCACAGCACTGCCCTGTATATGTTTTACTGGGAGTGTCTAAGAGGCCAGGGCCTAGGAATTCAAATAGACCACGAGTGTATTACCGATAAAGCGAAAGAGCCCAGAGACATTAAACAACTTACCTGTCACCACACAGATAGTATATCTTGAGCCCAACTCTGCTCTCAGACTTTCTCTCTTTTCTTTACAATGATTTAAATATAGTTTTAAAAAGGAACATACGTCCGGGGCGCCTGGGTGGCTCAGTCGGTTGAGCGTCTGACTTCGGCTCAGGTCATGATCAGGTTTGTGAGTTCGAGCCCCGCGTCGGGCTCTGTGCTGACAGCTCAGAGCCTGGAGCCTGCTTCGGATTCTGTGTCTCCCCCTCTCTCTGCCCCTCCCCTGCTCATGCTCTGTCTCTCCCTGTCTCTTAACAATAAACAAAAAATGTTAAAAAAAATTAAAAATAAATTAAAAAGAACATATGTCCACGATTTTAAAAGGTTAAATATGCCAGGGGCACCTGGGTGGCTCAGTCGGTTAAGTATCCAACTTCAGCTCAGGTCGTGATCTCATGACTCATGAGTTCTAGTCCCACATCAGGCTCTGTGCTGACACCTCAGAGCCTGGAGCCTGCTTTGGATTCTGTGTCTTCTCTCTCTCTGCCCCTGCTCATGCTCTGTCTCTCTCAAAAATAAATAGACATTAAAAAAATTTTTGTAAGTTAAATGCTCCAGAAGTATGTATAGTAAAATCAAATTCCTGCTCCTCTCCCTGAGTCTCTGTCCCTGAGTGTGGAAGCCCCAGCCGGAGACGATAACAATTTGTACATTTAGGAGCTTGTCACATGTCATTATAGAGCCGTCGCGTTGCTTTTAAAGGCCACAGATGGGGCGCCTGGGTGGCGCAGTCGGTTAAGCGTCCGACTTCAGCCAGGTCACGATCTCGCGGTCCGTGAGCTCGAGCCCCGCGTCAGGCTCTGGGCTGATGGCTCGGAGCCTGGAGCCTGTTTCCGATTCTGTGTCTCCCTCTCTCTCTGCCCCTCCCCCGTTCATGCTCTGTCTCTCTCTGTCCCAAAAATAAAAAACGTTGAAAAAAAAATTTAAAAAAAATAAAAATAAAAATAAAGGCCACAGAATGTTTCACTGTAAGAGTGCCTGGCATCTCATTTAACCTGTCCTCTGTAGATACATATGTAAGTTATTTCTGATCTTTTACTACCCGTAATGTCCTTATGCACACGTCCCTGAGCAAAGGCGTGAATGCGTGTGCAGGATGAATGCTGAGCAGTGGTGTCCCTGGTCAGGGGTTAGTGCATTTTCCTTTTTGAGAGAGCTCACTAAATGGCTTTGCCAAGAGGCTGTGCCTTCCAACAGCAGTGACGGGGAGTGCTGGTATCTCCGCTTAACGGCAGGTTCGCAGACGTCTTTATTTTGCCCGGTTTAACAGGTGAACATGACCTGTCACCGAAGTTGTAATTTGTGGTGTTTTTCCCCCCAACGGTGAGGGTGAGCACCCTCCATATATTTAAAGGCCACGGTTACTTAGTTTTCTCTGAACTCAGAACTCTGTTCATGCCTTTCTCTTCTCTTTTGAGTTGCTAGTCTTTGTTTGTTTGTTTGTTTTTCAGAGAGCGAGAGTGAGTGGGGCAGGGGCAGAGAGAGAGGGAGAGAGAGAGTCCCAAGCAGACTCCCCACTGCCAGCACAGAGCCCGAGGCAGGGCTCGAACCTATGAAACGTGAGATCATGACCAGAGCACTTAACTGACTGAGCCACCCGGCGCCCCTAGGAATGTTTGATTTCATGAGACGATTTATGCCAAGCTGCTTTTCTTATGTGGAGTCCGAACTTTTGTGTCAGGTTTAAAAAGACAAAGTCCTGGGCTGGGCGGCGGGCGACAGGGGCGGGGGACTCGGGCGGAGCCCCCGCGGCCGGGTTAGGGAGGGCCGGGCCCGCAACGACCGGTTACGCGCGCTGCCCTGGCGTCCCCCCCAGATGTCATGAGCCGGGGGTCTAGTCATACTCCGGACGGTGAGCGGCGGAGCGCGCCGGGCCCCGGGGCCGCCCCCGACCCGCCGGGACGGGCTCCAGATTTTGGCTACGGAAAGGGGGAGATGCACTAAGCAAGGTCCGCCAGGAGGCACATTTTGGAGATCGACCAGCTTGAAGATCTTGCAGAGGCCGATCCGTTCTCCTTCAGAGAGTTTCTGAAAACCCAGAACCTGGGCCTGTCGGGAGAAGACAACGCCAACAACAGGATTTATTCAAAGGAACCCGCAAGGCACCTGCCGGGACTGGGCCGCAGCTCCCCAACCCCCCAGACCTTGGGGTACGGCCTGGAATATCAGCAGCCGTTTTTCGAGGACCCTACAGGGGCTGGTGACCTTCTGGATGAGGACGAGGATGAGGACGAGGGGTGGATCGGGGCCTACTCGCCGTCCAGTGTGGAGCACGTACGGCTCCTCCTCCTCCACCCCGTGGGAGCTGGTGGGGCCCGAGACCCTGCCCCCGTGGATGCTGAGCGACCCTGACTCCCGCGCCTGCCTCTCTCTCCGGCGGGGAGCCCCAGCGCACACTTCGCGGCTCCCGGAGAGTCTCTGGGGGACAGGCGCCCGCGGACGCTGCAGATACGCCACGAAGCGCTGAAAGCTGAAAATCCTAGGCCGAGAGGAAAGCCGCCTGAGGTCCAGAGCTTCTCCGAAACTCAAGCAGAAACGGGGAGGACGCTGGAGCGGAAGCCGGAAGCGAAAACGATAAAGGCGGAAAGTGACGGCCGAGATCTGGAGTCAGTGGTCCAGCAGGGGCAACAGCACCTGGCGCCGATGACAAACCGGGCCGTAAGGGCGGGAGGTCCCATCCTGAAACCGAAGCGGGACAGAAGCTCGCTGCAGGCCCAGGTCTCGAACTTCAAGCGCGAGAAGGCGGCCTTGCGGTCGGGCCAGGGCGCCGCGCCTGCAGGGGGCGAGGCAGAACACCCACGTGGCCTCGCAGAACCTTCACGTCCGCAGGAACAACGCCCACTCCTCCATCCGGCAGCTGGTTTCTGGAGCTGAATCCTGTTGCCGAAATCCTTCAATCCGTAGACAGAATTTCCGAAATGCAAGATGAGGAAGAGGAGTCTTGAGAGCCGTGCGGTGCCTCCAGGTCGCAGCCCTGCTCCCGCCCGGCCGCCGCCGCTCTCTGGGCTTGAAAATGCCCTTGTGTCTTTAAGTACGGGGTCCTCGGCCGTAGCGAAAGTATTGATCGTGCCGCTGATTTCATGACCTAAACAGCGCTGGCAGCCAGGGGCAGCGAGGAGCCCCCCGCGTGTGAGAGCTGCACCCGGTTTCTATGCGCCCCTTCCTGGTGAGCTCCTGCTACTTGACGGACTAGTGCTCCTTCAGGAAGACGTTTCTGTGAAAGGCGGTGGTGTTTTGAAGTGACTAAACACGAACACGACCGTTCCGTAGTAAGTGTTTTCCGTCGTCATTCCAGAATGTTAATCGTAAGGTAAGTTCAGTCGATCGTCCTCGATTCCATAAGGAGAGGGGGTAGGTGAGCCACAGCTCCGTGCTCGCCTGCCAAGGCCCTAGTGCCTCCTTGACCTCATTTGGTGCCCCGGCTGGCTCAGAGTCCACTCCTGGGGCCTCGGGGTCAGGGGCGGCTCGTACAGTTGGAGACCTGAGCCTGGATGCCCCGAGTGGGGGCGCTGTTGTCGTTCCGCGGGGTCCCAGGTCACGCGGGCGCGCCACTGTGTGGGACCATCTCAAGGCATCTGTGGGCCTTCAGACTTGAAAAGCTGCTTTGGCTGGAGGGTTTTGATGCATGTTGCAAGTGGCATCTCGTACAATCAAGTTTGGAATTCAGGGATTTAGAGTGTGTGTGCAGGCTTCCTGGGTCAGCACAGGTCTCCCAGGGTGCTTTTCCAGCTGCTTTCCAATGTAGGGGGGGCACCACACGCACCATATCCCTTTTTGGCCACTTTTCTCTAGATGTTATTTTTTTTTTAAATAAATTTCCTCTCTTCTGTTCAAATGGACAGCTTTCCTATTTAATAAATTGTAAAACTCAAACACACACACACACACACACACACACACACACACACACACACAGTCCTTCCCCATTTGGCTACTATTTAAATAAAATCTCCCACGTCTTTTTAAAAATACTTTTACAGTGGGGTTTTAAAAAATGTAGATATTTTCTCTACCTGGAGTTTATCTCGGTAGAAGTAACTAAGAATGGACGTGAACTTTGTTTTAGACGGCTACCACTTGTCTAAACCTACCACCACTTATTAAATCACCTCCTTTTCTCCCACTGATCTGAAATGTCCTCTTAATCACAAACTAAGTTTCTGCATATATTTGGATATATTTCTGGCTGTTTCACACGGTTTCATGGGTCTGTGTTCTACTCACACACCATTTACCAAACTGCTTCATTTATTTTAGCTTTATAAGGTAGTTTAATATCTTTCAGACCTAGACCACCTTTCATATTCAGAATTTGACTATTCTCATCTTTGTCTTTTCCCATAGAATATCAGCATATTTAATTCCGG